TATGTCATTATGTCATTGCATGGGAGCAAACCTTGGAGGACAGAATAGGTGCTATTTATACTAGTAACGTTATGACGTTTCAATTTACAGCTACATTTGTTAAGGTATCCTCTGGATGCCACGAATTATGGCATAAAATGACGAAAATCTCCATAAAATGGTGAAATGACAAAGTCGCGAAGTTGTTTCATCTGGATACCACAAAATCCAAAGGAAATATTACAAAATTATAGCTATTATAGAAAGTTCACGAATTATGGCATAAAAAAATGGACAAAAATGGTCAATTTCTCATGTAAAGACAGTCCATGTATTGTGCTTTCGAGTGAAATTGCGTGTTGTGGCGTTGTTCCTCGTTGGAATTTAAATCGATTTGATTGGCTACTTCAGATGAGCTCAAAATTATTAACCAATCAAAACCTTCTAAATGAAATTCAACCAATCAGATCGATTGTGGATCGGTTTGGTCGGCGCGATTCGATTGCACCCCCTCCCCAAATTTGTATCAAATCGACAATAACCACTGGGTGGCTTCCAAAACCGGCACAAATCCAATTTGAGACCAAAGTGGTACTGACATTATCCGTATCGATAGCGAATAATATGAGCCATCAACATCAATGTTCTGTCAAAACGCAGCAATTTATTTTTTTCGGCAACCCACAAAGCCCCCGACAAGATGGAGACCCACTTTGACGTCTTCAAGAGGTAGGTGGAGTAGTGGTTGGTAGACCAGGTATGACATCAACAGCATGCGAGGATCATCGTGGTCGTGAGCATCGTTTTGGCGCGCAAGTTTTACAGTGAATCCGGATGAATCCGGATGAATCCAGACGGTTTCACCATCGCTTCATTTTGTATTTCGTTTGTATTTTGGACAAATTTTGTAAAATCTCATTTCGAGTTTTGGCATATTTATATGGCGTGGTATCCAGAGGAGCCCCCTAACATACTGGTAACATAGCTACTTCGAAGTACATGTTATTGTGGGAAACCAATCAATGCACCAATCAAATGGAGTCGATGACCTGGCGCATCACAAGTCGCAGGTCGATCACAGTCGTGTCATTCACACCAGGGGGGAGATTCACAGTTGGCGGAATCGACAGAATGCGGCGATTGTCCAATGTGACATTGACAGGGGCTCCATGTGTTTGGTATCGAAAGGTCGCCGCCGCCGCCGCTGGAGGTGGCACTTGATTGGTTTCGTCGTAGTCTTGAACATCATAGAGGCGATACGCCATGGCTCGAGCTCTCTTACTGACTTTGATGAGGAGAACATATTGAACTCCGGTGTATTCGAACCACCAGTGTGCAGCTCGTTCGAGACTCGCCCACGACTGATAGCGTCCAACCTCGACAGCGAATGTGATCCAATCTTGGAAACGGCGGGTGCTTCCATCCTTCAGTACCGGCAGGGTTGTTCTTCCTGGCGTACTGTTTAATGGAGTGAAAGTCGCGTCCGCTTCCTTGTCGGGGTGCCCAGGTCGATGACACGTCATGGAGCCCGCCAGGCCAAATGCGAAGCCGTCCCCACAAGACTGAAGGAACTCGCAACTGAACTCCGCTTTGGTGCTCTCATGCACTCTTGAAATGGGATACTCGACCACCAAAACGCGATCTTCCACGAGCTCAACGCATCGCAGAGGAATCCGTGGCTGTCCTTTTCCAAAATATCCGTTGAACACGTCCACCGTAACTTTATCGCAGACAAAGAAAGGTTCGACTTCGTGCACGAAATACTGCTCGAGCGTAGACACGTCGAGATGGTTCATGATCGCTCGAAGCTTTGCGACTGTCTTCGCCATGATGCTCTTGTTTTCGGCGGTCTGAGCTTGATGCAAAGTGATTTTGAATCTTACAGTTTCAACGTCGTCATGCTTTGATTCTAGCCAATCAGCAACGGTCATCCATTGATCCGGATGATTATCCGTCCATACTTTGCTGTCAAAATGTGAAAACCAACAAATTTTTACCAAATACTTGTACTTCACGTAGTGGATTCGGTAGATCGAATCGATGCTATTGGCTAATCAAAATTTGAATAGATCTGATTGGCTCTTACAGAAAGGTCAAGTATATTCAGCCAATCAGAAGGCCTTACGATTTTGAGATCTTCCAACCGCTCGACAGTTCAGCCAATCAAGTGGCCCTATACGTTTCGAAACGGACGCTTGCATTGACCAGATCGACCAGAACAGCCACCCCAACTCGATGACGGCAACCACCATGTCGGCACCGACGCCCGTGGCGATGGAAGAGGCGATGGAACTTGTCGCTGCTGCTGGCCGTGGAGGTCCACCCAATTCTTCTTCGTTAACCGTGCATGATGATGTTGTCTCGCTGAAGAAGCAGGTGTCGTCTGCGTTGCGGGACGGGGACGCACCGGATTATGCGAGCCGGGACATTCTCGCGCTCTTGGCGCAGTACATCAGTGTCGGGTTGATGATCGGTGCCATGCAGCAGTTCAGTTACCCCATCTTCATTGCGTACTACCACATGGAAGGGTCGCAGTTCAACGCGGCGACGGCGCTCATGGGACTCGGGTGGTCCCTCAAGGTGTTTGTCGGCATCCTCTCGGACTGCGCCCCGCTCTTTGGGTATCGTCGCAAATCGTACATGATCCTCGGGTGGATTGCATGTGGGTGTTGCATGCTCTTCCTCGCGCTGCACGACCACGGGTCCCCGTACTACATCAATCGTGCCATCGACGGCATCCCCCTTGCAAAACTCACGCCTTTCCAACGC